CAACGAGAAACCTTATAGCTTTCATAATATGTAGGGAAAAAAATTTGCGCAATACACTCTTGAGAATAATAGCACAATGAGCCATGTTGAAATACAAAGAAATAGCAAAGACCTTAACTTAACTTGAACATCGTAAAATAAGCATATGTTCATTTATCAAGTGTAATGAAATTTTACGTGTTGAAGAATCTTACCTTCTAAAAAGACCGCATGAGTTTACAATATGAAACTGATCAAGTTGGCTGTGCCATTTTCTAACAACAGGCCAAACATTATGTTGTGTATCTTCATCAAGAGCTGAATACGAAACCTGATCAGGAGGAATTTTGAGTTAAACTTTGTGTTTTGTTGGGCAAAAATGAAAACACTATACGAATAAAAAAATTACCAAACTGATACTAAACAACCAAATGGCTACGCCAGCTTTCACACAACATAAAACAAGAGAAAAAATTTTGTCCAAAACTTTCTCTTGCTGACAACATCTAAAACAAAATACTGTTATAAGATTTATGAAAAGAAAAACGGATTAACAATTGGCAATGTAGCAGATCCAAAACAATCACGAAACAAGACTGAACTGAAAAAAAATCAAGCCACTTAAAGAGTTCATAAACACGATATCATCTGCGCTAGAACATGAATTTTGAAACGATTATACGCATATTAAAAAACATAAAGGGTCAAAAAACTGCAAAACTGCACGCAAACAGGTGTATGTTTAAAGAAATTTTGTGGTCAAAGATGGCATTCAAAACAGAAGCAACTGGGAGCGACTATGCTTTGAACAACCCTTTAAGTGGCATTGTAGTAAATAAGCAATAATAACAAACATAATAAAACTCAACTGTGAAAAACTTATTCCATATTAGACAATTAATGATCAGCAGTAAATGAACTCATTCACGCGTCCATGCAACATAAGTAAAACACATACAAAAATCGTGGAAGATATCGTGGAGAGAGAACACGATGAAAACTTAACAAAACCTCTCTTATCTTGGAAGTTTTACATTGTCTTCACGTCTTATTTATCGAAGGATCAGAAAGGAAAATTTCGTGCAGTTACTACATTTCAATGTTCCCTTTTTCAACAATCTGTATACAATATACGTAACAAAGTAAAAGATTTAACCGTTTAAGCTAGGTAGTATCTTTAGATGTTTGCAGATGTAGATCGCGTCCAAGTTAGTAGATTCCTGAGAAGGAGTATTGATGTTGATATTAACTGACGTTTGGATAACCTTAACCTTAACCCATTTGACTCTAAAGATGTCTATCGCTAAGGTTATGGAAACTGCAGCCAAAACGTCAAACCTCAACAAAGTTTGAAAAATGACAAAACCAAGAGACAATGCTCCAATCCAAATAGAAAATAGAACAATAGCCTTCAGAGCAACAACAAACTGGGAATAGGTAAAATCTAGAAAAAAGAAAACGCCAAGTGTTTAATATCAGTTCAAGAAACCTAAAACTAGAAAACATAAACATGTTTCATTTTGAGTTCTATATGGATGAGAATGAACTGAAACAAACTTTCCTGACCTATTTTTGTGATGATAATATTTTTGCTATCAAATTCCACTAAAAATAAACGCTGGATCCAATAAACGAAGAAAAATGCAACAACCAGAACAATCAACTTCCTGATGGCATTAACAATAGCATTAAAAACGCGACATCTTCATTTAAGTTCACAAGACAATATGCCTAAATAAAAAATTGAGTAAATAAATACATTAAATAACAAATCGCTAGTATATTCCTAACATAAATACTAACATTAAATTCCGGGAAATTTCATAACAATACTCCTACCATTTCATTATTACATAAAAATAATGTTGGTAACATTTCCCAATTGTTATAGTTCAGAACATTTATATTCATTACGTGAAATAACTACACTATAACAATTATACTAACATGTATATTCCTGCAAATTTCAGACACGTTTTGGTAAATGAAAGAGTATAAGTATAATGCCAGAAAAAAACTTTGTAGAAACATTTAACAGTATGCATAAGTAAGCACTTCTAACCACACAAGAAAACACATAGAACCCTCAAAACAATAAACAACTCACAGAAAGTGCTCACATCGAAACACACAAAAAATACAATCATGCAAAAAAGTTATATTGCTAGAAAAGCGAATAGGTTGAGTTTACTGTTCGCAAAACGATCACAGAAGACTTTAAAGAGAGAATAAGGGCTTCGATATAATTTGAATGGTGCAGAGATGCAAAGTTGGACATTGAAGTTGTTACGCATTAACACATTAAAAAAAAACTAATTTTGCTCAAGAGAACGATAATGAGTAATTGGATCAGAGAAGGTCACATCGAGATTATGAGGAATAACTTAGGGAGATTCTTTCTCCTCTTTGCTGTATTGTATTTCTGACTACACCTAAGTAAAGCTACAAGAGGTCAATCACAAGCGAACCAAACAGTAGCCTGTTTTATTTAATCTAAATTTAATTGGAAATAACGAGAAAGAACAAAATAATGAACTGAAAATCGCGAAACAATTCAGTGAAGATACAGGTATGGAATTTGCACTCGAAAGTTGTTCCAAAGCCAGTTTCAAAACAGGCAAACTAATCTCAACTGCAAACATTACTGACGACACAAAAAGAGAAGAATTGCATGGACGACGAGAAAGTATTGGTAGATCTGGGTGTAAACGAAAGTGTTGGTATGAAGAATGACAAAATGAAAAAGAAGAGCAGAAACGAACACTGTAGAAGAGCAAAATTAATCAAATGAAATGAAATCAAATGATGAAACGAAATACAAAAAGTCCATAGTTAACACTGTAGTAGTCAGAATTTTGCAATATAGCTTTAGCATCTGAAGAATATTGACGCAAAACAGGTAAACTGTTAGCCATACAGAAAATTTTACATGGTATAAACCATAACTGGAAAGAGTGTATATCCCGAGAAAAGATGGAAGTACGGGTCATCGACTATTGACGCAGAAAAAGCATTTAACAATAGAACTGAATAAATATCTGAAACACAAAGAAGAGCAATTAAAAAAGCAGGTGCCTAAAGATGACGATGTAAGGCTAAAAATTGAATAGCTTATCATGGTATTAAATTAGAAAGGAATAACAATGCCAGACATTGAGAAAAGGCAAGAGTGCCTTAGTGATTGAAAACATTGCATGGCTCGTATCCAAAAAGGTGAGACAGACCTCAAGCATAGACACAACTAACACAAGTATATGGTTGTCAAAAAATATAAAAAGAAAAACAGTGGGACAACTAAATGCATTTCAAGATCAAGCAAAGAGCACAAGAAAGTAGAAAAAAAGGATATTTCGTCATGACGATAGGTAACAGCCAATCTACACGCAGACTATCGTTGTAATTACAATAGAACAACAAGACTAATGGAATAATAACAGCTAACAGATCGGACAATATTCATTGAATTCTATCTGTATGCTGCACATTAAACTCTCTCCCCATCATATTGTCAAGATTCTTTGTCAAAATATGGTATCGCCATTATATAATTTCTATAATGTCATATTAGAGTTTAGAGCAACTTTTTTCGTTTTGTTTACGAGGGGCCAACTGATCCAAAATACGTCCAATTAAACATATTATATAGGTCCTCTCAGTGAAAGGCTGTGTAGTTTGCTAATTAAGATCATCAAAAATTGATCTAATTTCTTTCATTTTCATTGCTTGTGTTTGTACATATCTTTGCTTTTCTTGTACCAACATTAGCTTCTATCACTTTCATAGCAAAGATGATGCTGCAGTCGAATGAGCAACATTAAAAAGCACTGCCTACATTTATTAACTTCATATATCATATAAGTTGTCCTAATGGCAAGCTATTCATAATAACATTTTGGAACTTCTATTACGTCATCTACTCAACCATTTCCTTATTATTTCTCCATCGTAACGGATCTCATTGAACAGTATTAATGAAATCATCACAAAGGTTATTTCTCTCAATAATACGTAGTGTTAAAAATTTATGAATTCTGATTATCACAAATATCTACTTGTTTCTTGTCCCATGCCCACGTTAGAACTTTGAAGAATATACGAATAACACTTCCTATTTGGTTTAAACTTGGCATCGTCGATCTTCACCGATCACCCCACGTCTATTATGCCTTATATTTGTCTGACACTTCAACATTCACAACACTTTTCGCATCTGAATAGATTTCAGTTACCTTATGCCATCATGCATGACATGAACACGACGTTGCCTTGGGGAGATTTAGGCTGCGTTTACACTATACCGGGTTCGCTCATCACGACATCTTTATTTGCTTTAAAGGGTTAACTGTTCGGAGTAAAAGCTTATTAAGCTAATAGATTTAGTCCATTTGATTGTGTTTCTGACGTTGAACAATTTCACTGCCTTTTAATACAAAGAATATTGAACCTGCGACGATAGCAATCCGGTATAGTGTTCACGTGGATTAGCAATAAGCAAAAGAAATTATCACAGCCATTAATGTTAAATCTTATTCTTTAGAAATTTGCAATCAATAACATTGTTGTAAATTTAATTTAAAGTAGCTGCAATAATTTATTTTGACTAAATATGGATACGCTAGGGTTCCAACTTCAATTCATTGAATTATACTGGAATGATAACTCTATTAATGCCCTGTGATTGGATGAAGCCAACATACGTCTAAAATTTGTCTACCCCCAAGAAATAGTGCATATTTTCTTGGCGATCGATATTTGACTCATCTGTCACGAATGACAAATGTTGTTCAAAACTTCTGCGCACACTAGGAAACTTTGTCGATCACACTTGTCACGAATAACAAGTACGCGCGGCAAGTTCACCAGTGTGCGGCGAGCTTAAAAGGTAATCGTTTTCATTTACATTTACGACAAATTTTAACTGCAATTTTTGAAATGAAAACACTTTCCAATTTAAAAATTATTAAATATCTTTTATTAATACAACTTTAAGTAAACATTCTTACGGCTTACCAGTAAACGGTAGATCATTGTCATGAAGAAGTGACAAGCACAGAGCGATGGTGAGCAAATTAAAGAAATTATAATTTCCTGTGGCAATTATCAGCAACTGGAACGTCACCTACATACATGCAGACAAAAAATAAACAAGGTAGAACTTAAAAGCAACGACATGTTACAATTTGATATATAATATGTAAACACAAGCACAAAAATGTTAAAGGATGTAAACAAGGTCACATGAGCTGTTTACATGAATGAAAAGAGTTTCATTCCTATGAAAGTATTTTTTCGTATGAATAACATTTAAGATATAATAAGTATTAAATACAACGAAACACAAACATGACGCGCAACAATGCAAGTCTATGCTGTTTGGGAAAATGACGTCTTTTGTTTCTTAATAAACTATTCTTGAATTGCAACTGCTCTCTTGAGATTTGCGAATCAATGTTGCTCGCCCACGCCGGCTGGTGCCAACAATATATCTGATGAAATGTTCTTTTGTATCAGACCACCATGGCTGAATTGCAAGTCAAGAATTCTTGAAGAAATTTATTTAGAAATATTGCTCAACTAAACTCAAGACTCAAGACAAAACATGAACACAGGCACAACTTAAACTACAATACCTGCAAATAAAAAGCAAACATTCGTAGGGATCTTATCGGTGAAAAGAATAAGAATGGGATCGGTATTTCTATGACAAACCTAAAAAGATTGAATATTTTAGGTTCTGTAGCAAACATTTCGGGGTTTATTCATAGTTGCATGTAAACACAAGCAAAAAAAAGAGATAAAGAAAAAGATGCCCCAGCATACATGCATTAAAACCACGACTGTTACTTTTTTAAAACCCAGAAGAACATTAACAAATAGAGCATAACTGGAAAACCACATTTAACATTTAAGAATATTATAAAATGATTAATACTAGAAAATCTCTTACGTCATCATAACACTAAATCTTTGAAACCAGGAGGGCAAATGATGTGCAAACCACGCAAGAGGAGTAGGGATACACTGTATTAAAAAAAAATATTTAAAATGTTCATGGCATACAATAGCACTATAACAACAAAGGAAAATTCAGTTGTGCCAGACCTATATCTTTTGACAGCCAATTAATTTACTAAAGCACTCAGTCGAGTACACATGAATATATGATAATTTTTACTCCCCTCCCTCCCAATTAACCTTCTAGCTTCTGCTTACAATGAAATATAATTTATTGTAAGCAGACATATTAAATTTTATATCACAAATACATTACGGCTGGAGAAATTACTTATGAATGACAACAGTTGCGCGAGCGCAAAAAAAGCTAACTAGGTTGTTCGAGAGAAGTTCAAATTTACATTATATTGCCTAACATTCAGGTAGACATATCGTTTAAGACATTGAATGGTACGGCAAGGATTCTGGCATGAAAACAAGAAAAGCGTGTAAGGGTGCGACCACATGTCACAAGATGCCAGACATACAATATCAAGATATCATCGATTAGCTAATGGCGATTTGATGATGGACGTTGAACTAACGATAATCGAAAAAATCCCATAAAACAGAAGAGTAACTTTTGGTCAACAAGAATCATGATGTTAATTGATAACATACAAAGCAACACATATCGGTGAATTTAGTACTCAGTGTGAGAGATGATTCAAAAGTCAAACCCTTGGTTAGAAATGTGATAATCCTATAGCAATGTGAAGAGTCTCAAGCTCTATCTGCCGAATGTGTTGCGTTTCAAAGATTGATCGGGGCAAGATGAAAAGAAGGTATACATGCTGAGTTTAGGGAGAAGTATTGCGATTATCTGAAGTATGGAGAGTTACAGGCCTCTTTTGAGTGGCAAACAAATCAAACGTCTGAGTTGAGACATTTCAGTTTGCTTGGAATATGTTTGGTTACCTACATTTTCATACATCCAGCACAGCATGGTGTTTTGGAGGTACATGGTCACATACCATGACACTTTTTCATTTACATCTGAAGCTCATACGCAAGGACGGCGCTAGAACGCTAATTGGAGAAGGGGTATGTAAATTCATATATTCAGTTGTGGACGAGTGAGTTCTTGTGAAAGTAATTTGATTTTCTAAAGAAGTCAGTCGGGCACAGCGGAATATATGACTATACACCACCCCAATTAACTTTCTAGCGCCGTCCCTGGTCATACGGTAGAAGATGGCCAGGAGAGGAAAGTTAGTCGGAGCAAATACTTACCAATGTTCGCACGTCTCCATATGAGACTCTACACAATCCGACAGTGCTCAAACTACGCACGCGCAGTGAGCGTAATATACAAAGTGTATGTACAAGGTGCCCTCCAGCTATCACCATATTAAAATGGTGACTCCCGCACTTGGGACATATATATATTTAAAAAATTCTATTGATTAGTTATGAAGCTATATGCCAAATAAGAGAAATGAAAAGTAAACTTTTAGTTAAAGCTTAGTGTATTCTTAGATTCATTGGTTGCTCTACGTTTTATGTGATGTTTATGGAAAGAAACATAGTCATAAACAGTTAAGAATTACTTTTTACTGTTGCATTTGATTGTAAACGGACTTTAAAGACGATTTTTCAGTTTATCATTTTGAGTGATAAGTTTTAGTTGAATGTGGTGCCAAGTGTGGTGCCAAATTAATATTAGTAACTCAATTATGTATGAAATTGATACGTTTTGTTTATCAAACACAGGTTTGGTTTTTTTTTGCAGTTAAATGTATTATATCCATTTGTACATCCTGTGTCCTAAGTGCAGAGTACACTATTGCACCAAGCTGATAACTAGGATGATGCATTGCTATACACGTTGTGAGTATATTTATAAAGACACTGTTAAGTGTCATTTGATTGTATGGTAGGCAATGAGGACTTATTCTTGCATGACCTAATCCTATGTAACAACAGGGCATTTTTAGATTGGCTTGTAATAATTCTTAGCGCATGCAATGTAAGTAAATATATGTTATGCAGAAAAACAAATCTTGGGCTTGCCTATTTTAAACAATACCCGTAACCTTCATATTTTTAAACTGTGGGCAGGGATGAAGGATGATTGTGCAGCTTACAAACCACTAACTTATAGCAAAAGTAATTAAACTCTTATATTCAGTAAATCGAAGCAAAGCAGACTATCTACAAGAAAACATATGAGTAAATTTTACGGTTGATTTCGTACGTTATTTGTGGTTGGTATTTTACAGCAATTTTCGACAAAACTAAGAAAATTTTTTCCATAATTTAATACAAATTTATGTCTGCACATGCAGAACATTAACGAACATGAAGATTGATAGTATATAGTTACCACAAAGGTAATATTAATCACGCTAGGCAAAGCCACGGCAGTTGCATTCTCTGTAGTAAAACAAAATAACCAGTTTACCTTGCTTCAAATCATAGGTAAAAAAACCGCTTCAAATCAACTTCCAGAAGCAAAACATCATTTAAAATAAATTAATAATTTTATAGATTTTTCCCAGTCAACAGCGATAACAATGACTTCGGAACTGTTGCTGATGCTTTAACAATACGGCACGACAAAATCTCCATGGCTTTCACGCGTGAAATGTGCCATGTGATCTCTACATAAAAGTGATTACGCATTCCACGCTTCATGCCAGCCTCCTACGCATGACTCTGAGCCAAAACGCTGCCTTAATACATATGATCTTAATACATATGATCGCTCTTCAGGCATAGCTCACGCAAGAGCAACAAGCCATCAATGGCCCTCGGTTTAAAATTATTGAACTATCGACAACTTCTCATGAACGAAAAAAAAAAGCTATAACCATGTTCAAGTCATATTGGAATAGGAGACTCGCACTGGTGTTGAAATAATAAAACTTAATCCATCGCCTCCTCTCCCCTTCCTTTCAAATCTGCCGTTATTTTGAACTGTTTGCTAGTCAGACTTTTGGCTAACTTGGTTGGATTTGAAAGCTTTTATGAGAAGCGAGCATATAAAATTTTTTTTGTTTGTCATTTGTATCATGCAATCATAAGACCTGAATTTAATGGACTTATTAAGACGAGCTATTAATTGTTGGTAATTTGGTGCAATTTCCCCCGTTATTTAAATGCAATTTTCCCCATTATTTAAATGCAATTTTCCCCATTATTTAAATGCAATTTTCCCCTTATCCAGTGGAAATAACTACATAATACTTATCAATAGACCACTTTGGCGGTTTTATTTGAATAAAAACACGTGCTCGCTAAGTGAAAAACTCGGACAAACATGGCGGAAAGTCATAACAATGACTAATTTGCTATATGAAATAGAAATATTTTTCGCTCTCTTGCAAATGTAGCGACGAATCAAACTTAGTCATAGTTGTTGCGCGTCAACAGATATACACTCTAAATTTCGAAGTGTACTGTGAACACGAAAAATGGTGTAAATTTCTGCCTCTATAGGAACACCAAAGAGGTGTAAATTGACATTGTAAAAATACACCCATCGGGTGTATTTGCTCTTGCCTCATTTTTTACATCAAGAGAGTGTAAATATACACCTCAAAGGTAAATATACAAATGGGATGTAATAATACACTCTAATGGTGTAATATGTCTAGTGCATGTTTACACTACGAATGTGTAAGCATAGTTAGAGTAGTGTAAACATATACATTAGACAGTGCATTCTTAAATTGAATTGACAACGCTCTGAAAAACAAAACAACGAGCAAAATAGCATATAAATGTATCATGAAAGTAAATTTCAGCATAATAAATACTACAAAGTTATTAAATGTAACCCCCACTTACATAACTATTTAAAACCTTAACAAAACTTTAAATAAAACTACATTATATCATTAAATCCTGTACTATAACCATATATTTTATTGTTCACATTCTGGTTCATAGTTGCGATAACTCTGACATTAACACCAACACCTTTGTTGGCACCTTTTGGGTGTCAAACACTTTCATGATATTTCTCTGCAGGAAATGAAATGTGTTGACACATTCTTTAGGGTATTGAATACTACATACGTAATACAATATAAGCATTGACTCCAGTGCATCCAGAATTCCTGCAGACCTTGTTACAATGTGGTTTTCGGCAACTACAGTTATAGCATCCGGATGGGGATCATCCACTGAGCCACTGATAACCAAAAATGGGGCCATTCCAGGTCTTGCTGCCATGGCAACCTCTTCTGCTTCACCAAACTGAAAATAGACAAAAAATTTAATCAAGCAGTTAGGCACTGCATTATTTGAGTTTCAATACAAATATCCATATTCTGCAATCAATACTAACCTGGTAAAAGTAAGACTCAGGACTTTTATTAGTTTTTGTTTTCCTTTCCAGTAAATGAGGCAACAAACACATTGCAACAAAAGTTTTGTTCTCTATGTAAAGTAATAAAACATGCATTAAAAATAAACAGATATTAAATTGATCAGTTGCACTTTACGAAAAACAAAGGCATGACAAATTTTTTTTCAGGGGAAAACAGCATGACCAGATGGGCACAAAAGATGATTTATTTAAATATTTCAAGTCAAAATGACTAAATAATAACTCAGTACATATGTAGCATGTTCTATACATACATAGTGAGACATGTTTACCTGCAGATAAAATATTTTCATTCTCTTCATCATCATTACAACTAGAGTCATTTGTAGGTTTACAAAGAAGCAGCAGCTTATTAGCTTCTTCTGAAACAAATTTCCTTTGCTCTGCTACTCTGATAATGTTGGGTGATACTTCTAGCAAATTGCCTTAATTACAATCAGCAGCCGAGCTATCTGCCATCAAATGACTGTACTCAGATTTTAGCTATAAAAATCAAAGGAGGATTACACAACAACATGTACAAAACATGCATTTGTATTGAATAATACATACATGGGCTTTTTTAAACAGGAAAGGATATTGTTCCATAATATCCTTCAGCAAATGTTTTTCCTCATTTATCATACGCCTCCTAAAGGAATATGTCAATTCCATCTTTTTGTTTACCAAAGTGAGGTTGGGTTGTTTTCTTTTCAATTCCTTCTTCATCCACGAAACATTTGCTTGGGAACAGACATCGTCCTTGCCATCTATTGGTGGAGGTGCCCAGTTCACAATTCCTCGTCGAACAGCTGCTCTGATTTTAGTTGCAGCTGGACTGCCATCAACATTGTTTCTTTTTCTAGATAGGACAACAGGGTCTGCTCTTTCATTTCTTAATTCATTATTAACTTTCTCACCAAGGTACCGATACCAAATTTCCTAAAAAGGTAATCACATATGAGTAATTCAGTAAAATTGCCTGTATGAAACCTGTCATAAAATTCTTCAAGCCATCAGTATGCAAGTTTATGGACAAACAATACAGATTTCAGCGTTTTTTGTTATGTGTTTTTTTTATTATAACTATACAAACATAATGAATAATAAGAAAAGACTATATACAATTATAAATAAAAGACTTATATAGCCACCACTTGCATCAGAAAGAAAAGGGTATTTTGCAATTATTGCACGACAAACATCTCGCCTTTGGTCTAGAGTGGGAGAACTATACAACAAAAGCCATTCTCGATGACACAAATATGCCATAATACACAACAGCAGGATAAAATCAAGAGAAAGTTGCTGAAAATATAAATGATGAAATGAACTTACACAGTAAATAGGCAAATTTTGTCGTAAATTGTTTGTATGAACTTGCATCTAACTTGCTTTGGCATTCTCAATTTCTTTGCAAGTGTTTCTTCAACCAAAGGCGGGAAATAGTCAGGAAGAACAAATGGCGATGTCCATTGTTTTCTGCCTTTTGCTACTGAGTTGTCACTGCTATGAAACACACACACAGGCATCCTCATGATAGATATATTTACAATTCAGTGTCTTTTAATACAATTCATTACCTTGCACTTGATAGTGATTCACACACACCAGATTGCCCACCAGGATTTGATGCATTTCCTTGAGAATTGGAGTCTTGCCACTTCGCCAGCATATCACATGTAGATAAGTCACTAGCAGACTCAGATGTAGAAGTCGAGCATCTAGTGTTCATTTGTTTGATGGCTTTCAATAACTTCATCCTGGGGCCAATCCTGACAACCAATGATTTTAAGGCATCTTCCGTCAAGCAGGACATTGCATCGCCATCAATGCCCTCGTCTAAGTATAATTTTGATATCAAAATATAGAATTTGTTTTCAAGTAGCAACGATCGATCGAATATTAAAAAGTCACGGATTTAGAACTCGCACGATAAGGAATAAAATATAGCGGTAAAATAGCACATGGTACCTTCGGTTGACATCGCAATAGTACAGCGCAACACAAAAGTTTCCCAAACTGAACCGAATTCGGAATCTTATTGCAGTAGTAAAATAATCAAAATAGTAAATACAAATGATGCAATTGCAAAGTCAATACCTACCACAAAACGTTTGGCTGATGTCTTGAAAACCATTTAAATCCAGCCAATTCACAACTTCTTCAACGGAAAATGTTTCTTTAAGTGTAGACCCCATTTTCAACAGATTTAGGACGAACGAAATACTTTTTCAAGTTAAATTAGAACAAACGGTCAAATTGTGAATGGCTATACACACTGCACACGACACGTTTATGGTAAAGAGCCGGCGGTTATAATGATACTGGGATCAAAAATGGAATAATTATGATTTACATTCTACTCAGAGGTCGGACTTATTTCTGAGCCGCTTATGGCTAATCACGGTAAATGCTGACCATTTAGTGATTAATAATCAAAGCAATTTTCGCAGTCGTTGCTTCGGATATTTTCAATGGCCAGAAGAAAAGAGCAAGAATTTAAATGTATAAACATACATTGCTCGCATCTATCATTTGCCTCTTTCAAGAGATATATGAGTCATGTTCGAGATTATCATGTTCATGAACCCAATTTCAAGATTAAATGTCCGTTTGACTCGTGTTGTCGGTCCTATTCACTGATATCGTCTTTAACATCTCATATGCGTCGAAAACATAAAGGTGACCTTGATTATGCAGTTGATTGTGAAGTCAATGATATGAACGGCGATATTACGCAAGACAATGACCATCTAGTGGCAGACTCGACACTGGACTCAATTGAGATAGGTTGCAACAACAAATATAATACGTATATTTCAGTCAAGGAAATGGCATTGTTTGCTTTGAAGACACAGGAATTCAATCAACTTGGTGACACTGCAACGGATGCAGTGCTTGAAAATACTTATCAGTTAATGGAGCAAAACGAGGACTATTTTAAAAAGCAAGTTAAATTATGCATCGAGCATTCCAGTGTTGACATTAAAGATATAAAGTGTTTCGAAGAATTACTTGAGTCACCACCCTCACTTTCTGCATCAAAAAAAGTATTGCAGACATCAAAGGATAGAAACAAGTATTTAAGGGAAACATTAAATATGGTGGTACGTATTTAAAGTATTCTAATACTTCTTATAAGAACATGATAGTATAATGTATTAATTACTACCTAAATGTATTATCTACTTATTTTGTAGGACCCAATTGAAATAGTGCTTGGAGAAGAGGTGGTAACTTCTGAAGTGAATGGTCAGTTCCGAGTGAAAAAACACTCCTTTCAGTATATTCCAATAATAAAGGTCTTGGAGCAATTGCTTAATCAAATTGACATCATGTCACAAGTAAGAAAAAGTTTACAATTGCAAAAACTAATATGCTGCTGTAACTTCTGTTAATTTTTTGTTAGGTTCGTAACCCTCACCAAAGTTTAGAAACAAAAGCCCGAAAAGTTTAGAAAAGGATAGAAAAGTTTAGAAAGTTTAGAAAAGGTTTTGATATATCAAATCTTTTACAGTTGGTTAATTAATAAATAATGAATTTAAACATTAAAAATGATGTAAATAATAAAGTAACACTTCGCGCCCCATAGTAGACCATAGACGTTTAACATTAAAAGTAATCGTAATAATTACCTGTGATATCTCTATTTCTTTGTGTAAGTAAAAAGAGACTAAAGAAGGTACATGGCTAAATCACAAAACATAACAAAAACAACTTTTTAGCAATCATAAGGGCTGCTACGGCCACTCTTTCTGCAATAATAGACCACTTTGGCGGTTTTATTTGAATAAAAACACGTGCTCGCTAAGTGAAAAACTCGGACAAACATGGCGGAAAGTCATAACAATGACTAATTTGCTATATGAAATAGAAATATTTTTCGCTCTCTTGCAAATGTAGCGACGAATCAAACTAAGTGATAGTTGTTGTGCGTCAACAATTACCATATTAATTTCTAGTGCTATTTGCATACTAATTTCCATATTCAATACGCAGTGACAAATATGGAAGTCTATGAATAATACTCAAATCTTGCAAAAATCTGTCAAACAAAGATTGTTGGCGACATAAAAGTTAAAATTTTGTGACCAGGAAATAAGGTAACTAACATATTTTGCTAGGAGAGAGGCTGTAAGAATATCTAGCTGTGTTGCGATCTACTGTTAGCGAAAAATAATTTTAGAAACTATATTTTTGTGCAGATTTCGTGTTCTTTGTATTTCCGAGTGCAACGTGGCAACACATTTTGTTTTTAAAATAACGATGTTAAATAAGCAAAAAATTGGATAACCTATATGATTGCTAAAAAGTTGTTTTTGTTATGTTTTGTGATTTAGCCATGTACCTTCTTTAGTCTCTTTTTACTTACACAAAGAAATAGAGATATAACAGGTAATTATTACAATTACATTTAAAGTGGTTATATCACGAATTTTAGCCCCCCTTTTTTATTAGCTAAATTGAAAGACCTTGTTTCAGTGATTTTAAATCTAATTAGAAATTATGGTGATTTTAAATCTGCAATTATAATTGAAATTGGATTGGTGAAAGTGATTTTACGGACGTTCAAAGTCACGATTTTCAGCATTTTTTTTGCGAACTTTTTGATCGGTATGCTAATGACTTGTGACGTAGAAAGTTGAACACATATATCAACATGGCGTATTCTACTAGTAATCTTAATAAGAAACGCAGAGGAAAACGCTGTGTTGCTGGCGGACCTAATGAAATTAGTTGCGCCAATGATTCAAAAACCGAAGGAATGTCGATGCATCTGTTTCCTAAAAAAGAAACAGAGCCGCAAAGACATAGAAAATGGGTAAATTTTGTGCGTAAACATAGACCGGGTTTTGAGGCTTCCTCTACCTCGTGTCTGTGTTCTGCGCATTTTGAAGATTCTTGTTTTGACCTTAATTTGAGCGTGTAAGTCAAGCTCAAAAGAAGGATGAAGAAAGATGCTATCCCAACCATTGACGTGGCTGGGATTCCTGAACCATTACAGGACGAAATAACCGATCGAAAGCGAAGACAAGTAAGTTTACGCTTGTTTATGTTAATTTTTCTTTTGTCATATGTAAATTCGATATAAGTTTTGTAGATTATTCGATATACTCTCCATAAGCCATCGCTGAAGGAAACATGTTCTCTCAATGAGGAAGTAACATCTACTAGTGATGAAGCTGAGCATGTTTAAGTATGCACTGGGGAAGCAAACGATTCGCCATTTGAACGGCTTGCTATTTTCCATTTTTACATTTATGCTATGATTCAATTCCATATATTTTTTCTTTTGTCTTTTTTCCAGTAGTTTCACCAATTTGTTTTTATTGTTTACTCTTGTTTCAAATCATTAAACTGCATGTCAACTTATATAGTGCATCCACGTATCTCCTATTTGGTTTTCATCTAGGCATATTTCCTGACCATTCCAAACTCAGCAAAGAAGGTCAACAGTCTCTACAGTGCACAAGTTAGAAGACTATTCCATCATCGCCCCTCTGATGGTATGTAACCTGTTGTGTTACCACTTGGATATGCTTTCCGAATAAAGTGGTAAACACAAGCAGGTAAAGGCCGAGTATTCTCCCATCCCATAGACCCACAAAACCATCGCATCAACCATCTGTATGTCACAGCTCTCAAGTACCTGAAGTAAATAAAAAGGTTGGACTAATTATTGTTGATGAAACAATGTTCATTATAACATTGTTTCTCATACAATTTATAATCTTACATATTTAATGATTTTGATGCTTGGCGGCGATAAGCACGTCCATTCCTATCTCTCAATAGTGGCCCGACGTTTTCAAGGACAGCCTCATGAACTAAAGGCCCAAATTTGGCATGCTGTGTTATGCATGATATTTTCTCAATGCTGCCATCGAATGTCATTTTCTGCAAAGCTGGTCCAATTTCCTTACAGCATCTGTACTCTAATGCGCCTTCTAACAAATCGGTATGACAGCATTGACAATTACACCTGAAACGTAGGAGCATTCTGGTTTATAAAGTAACTTTATGTATATTACAAACAGGAGAAAACAACAACTTACCATTAACCAAGTGGAATTACGCCATCACATCGTTGTTCTAATGTCGCAGGGAGAATTCCATCGGGATCCTCTGGAGTATGCACTTCATCACCATCTCCTGCTAGCGGTTCATCGTCATATGCAAAGTCGTTTAAATGCTTGACATAACCCACGGATTCTGAGCTCGAATCAGATACGCATTCAGACATCGAATTCGAATTATCTGAGCACTGATTTGAGGCCATACTTTCCGGACAACTTGTTTTTTAATATTTTATTGAAAATACTGTCATTATTTGTTTTTAAGACAAGAAAAACGACAACAAAATCACCTTCTATAATATAATATTATATTGACGGAAACAGACGTGTTCAACTATCTACGTCACAAGTATCAATATGGCGTCGTAAAAAATTCGCAAATAGTACCTGACTTTGGAGGCAAAATTAAGCAACTTATATTTATCTGTTTAAGTCCAGCGACATGTCATAGTTCTTCAAATAATCCAAATTTTCAATTAAGCTCATAAAAAAGGGGGGCTAAAATTCGTGATATAACCACTTTAATGTTAAACGTCTATGGTCTACTATGGGGCGCGAAGTGTTACTTTATTATTTACATAATTTTTAATGTTTAAATTAATTATTTATTAATTAACCAAATGTAAAAGATTTGATATATCAAAAAAGCAATTTGCCAAAACATCGTCATTTAAAAATAATCATTTTTTAGACTAGAATAAGTTTGGTTATATCAAATAATTAATTGACAAAATTTGGTTATTTAATAAATAACCATTTTTAGTTCGGTACTGATTTGGTTATATCAAATAACCAAAGAATTTTGTTACACTTGGCTCACTTAACATGACGTAATGTTCGTGATCTACTTACTCTCTCCCTCGTGGAACGTTATGAAGCATGGCTTCCAGTTCAAAATTAAAGTACACTGATTTAAGCAGAAAGCGCGCAAGACAAGGCATGGCGGATAATGCAAATGGTACATCGAGAAGACTGACAGAAGCGATAGGAAGGGTAAACACGCAAACTTTGGGAACAAGAGAGATAAATGGGCTAGTTATTTCACGTTTATTTTATATCAATCCAACAGTAGTCTGTCATTGCACATTTGAAACAAATTTAACAGATGAGCATTGAGCACGAGACAAATGATTCACTGGTCATTCAAACCAGTGGCTTGCTACATAAAATCAAAGATATTTCGTTGATTTAGATTTTAAGTATTTTTCCCAATCAGCAGGCATCAACCGCTGATTTTATCTAAAGCCAAAATATTTCTAATTCTATTCTATTACGGTCCATCCTGTCCAGGTACGTTGACCTCTTTACATCTAACCCCTGGGTTACTAACTTACAATGTGCTGGTCACTACAGATGCCTTCCAGAGACACTCCTTTTTTTTTAACATTTTTTTATTTCTCAAAGTTTTATTTCAAATGATTAAAAGGAGCGAAATATAACTGTGGTACTTAGAATGTTTTCTCTGTAGCAAAGAATTTCAGCTCAAACGAATGAAACGCTTCGGAATAGGACGCCACTCCGTGGCGGCATGCTGCTCTGTTTTTTCGTTCTGAATGCTTATCTTGCGCGTCACTAGAGTGGAATTAAGTTTTGTTTTTGATGAATACTTCAGGAATCTTCATTCCTATACCTTAGAAAGACAACATTTCACATCCATCTTTGGCCATTGTTACTGATCTTTGAGTAACGATTACCGGATATTCCACCATAAGGAAGAAATACCGACCTCAGTTAGGCTTGATCACTTGTACATATATCGGTTGGATTTTAGTTAGTGGTTACGTGTTTCCATTGCTACGGCTTTGTTACCATTTGTATTTCTCTTATACGATTTGCAACAAACGGTTAAAAATGCACCTGCGACCACAAAACCTCTTTGCTCTCTGAGAATTATACCACCTGTTGCATTGGCATTTCCAAAACTTGAAGAACATTCTGTGTTAGACGAATACCAGCGATTATTAACTCTAACTTCGCCACTGTTATAGGCTTTAACCGCGCAACTTTACTTTTTGATGCAATCAGACTGGTTGTCCCGTCATGCTACTCATTTATCACATAAACCACCGTCCCGTATGCCTGGACGGATGTTTCTAAAAAGGTGACAATCTTCTTAGTTGTTATATGTCCTTCTTGGCAAAGGCACCTTTGAACCCACAAATAGGCCAAACCCTTTAACTGTTGAAACTATTGCAAAATTTTATCGCCTATCTCATTCACAATTACTTGATTCCAATCCTAAACTCTTTTCATTAGCTCTTGCATGGGAATCTTTTGGAACCACCATCTATGGGCTAATGAAACTCAGGCTGTCAAAAACCATCGCAATTCATTTCATTACGTTTTACTTGGCCAAATCGGAAATTTGTTAAACGCCTACAGCAACGACTGTTAGCGTATAATCTTGCTTATAAAAGAAAGGCCAAGATTTTTGACAACAGAATCTTTCTGGTAGCATTGATTCAGCTTGTAAGCACGATCTTCTCTCTGGCGTAGTTGAGATTACCTTGGCTGAGTTTGAAATCCACTTTCTTCCTTACATGTAAGGTAAGCTTTATAAACTAACCCATAACATAACACATAAATTAGTCATGGCGTACAGGCATGTTTTTGCAGTCGTGCTTCTATTAATTATTAACAGCGTTTTAATTGGCAAATTTACTGCAATTACACCTGACGTCGATTGCTCTACAGACTCTTTATTGGGAAGGAAATATCTACTCCACCGTTCGACTGTAAGTGAAAGCCTTCGAAATGCACACCTTGCGAGCTGAATTTGAAGCTCAAGGCGTTGTTGCGGATCGTCAATTTCTGCCAATTTTGACCTAATAATCTTCAACATCCTGTAGGCTTCAGGGGTTTATCAGTCTGCCACTAGAACATCCAAAAACTGACTGTTACGAATTTGGAAAAATTATCTCTAAAGCTCACCTCGAACAACAACAGTGCTGCTAAACTCGACGTCTTAATTCTCACTGAGACGTTCAGACAGCTATTACATGATACCTGGCTACATATTACACAGG